AGATTTGTACTTATAAATAATTTAAAACCGAACCGATCGTTCGTCGTTTTGTTTTACGGGGATGGGGGCGAGGTGGTGGGGGAGGGAAGGGAGGAGGAGTGATGGTGGTGGTGGGAGGGTTGTCTTTTGTTTCACGAATTCTTCACAGATCACTTGTGTTTCCATAGACCCCGCGCAAAGAGCGCTCTTAATTCACGAGAACGCGTCCAATCCGCCCGCGTGTCGCATTTTTTTGTTTTGTTTTAAAGCTCGCACACACATTCCGCCCAGTTTAAACACGCGCATCGCTTTCAGCATTGTGCCGATGTATGCACACACACACACGCGCACACACACACACCGTACGTATTTACACGCTCCCTCCCTCTCGACCCCCCCCTCTCCGCTTCTTCTGTCAATCCACTACAGGAAAAGGCCCCCCCACACACACACACACGCGAGATTGCAGGTCGTGGGGATTAGTTGATCATTTGACCATACTTCACCACACTGGTCAGTGCGGGTTGGTGAAGAAAGAGGAGCATAGCACAGTACAATATGGGGGGGGGGGGGGGGGGGGGGGGGGGGGGGGGGGGCGGGGGGGGTTCGTTCTGCAGTGCCCTCTGCGGAATGTAAATGGCACTGTTGTTGTTACGACGGTAATGAGCGGTGGGGCGGCGGTTAGCGCACTTAGCCACCAACACGGAGACCGACGTTTTATTGCCAGCCACGGCTAACACCAGAACCGACCTCTAGCTCGACTAAATCCAGTTGTTGGCGTGATGTGTAAAACATACGCAAGGGGGATACAAAGGCGGCTGGGTGTGGTGCAGTGCCACACCACCTCCGTCTCTTTGCCGGCACTTCATAGGTGCTCGCTAACAGCAGTTGCCCCATCAGTCTGGCAAAGGCTACACGGGAGATTCTTTGTCTTTGCGTGTACTCCTGCTGCTCAAGGGGGAGACATATCACACACGCCTGTCAATCGACATTCACGACTGGCGAAGGGAGGTTCCCAGCGCAGGCCTCATTCGCGTTACGATGCAACTTTATTTTGCGCGACAACACTCACCGAATTCACCCTCTACAGACGTAATTTCCCAATTACATGCGGTGCACCAGATGCAAGGTCACTTTCGTGCCATGCTGGTACAAATCACGGCACATTCCCACGTGTTACGGGGTTGTGTGTGTGTGTGCCATTCTCAAGATGTTCTTTAAGGGCTGCGAAAGCTAACATTTGGCGCAAACGTAACCCAGTCCGTACTGTACGTATTAGTAACTATAAAAATTCAAGAACAAACAAATGTAGCAAAAAATATATATATGGCGCCCACAAATATTATAGAGCGGATGTTGATTCCACTTACAAGGCCAACCAGGTCAGCCTAAACATCCACGTTCTCTTCAGGCCTCGTGCAAATCGTACAGCCAACCATCATCAGTGCACCGAGTAATTCGCCTCCCGCGGAGTCTGACGCTAAAATCATCGGCTAGATAGCGGGGCATAACAATGAGTTTCTCACCAGTGGTGTGGCTTGAGAGTGTGCAGGCGGTGCAACTGCACCCGGGGCCATTGGACAGGGACGGGCCCATTTCATTCCTTGCACCAGCGCTTGTGCCGGCCACGTTACAACACTGGTGGCAATGCAGAGTAAAATCTTACTCAATGAGCCGTCAGGCCAACAGCTATGAACGGCACGTAAAGTTTCTCTCACTATTTTAATTGTACCAGGTGAGGCTCACTGGGCTGTACAGCTGTTTTTCGGAAGCGACATGGCCACAACTAGCTCAACTAAGTGGCTTATCACGTGGATGGACATTTTACCAATCAACGGTGTCTCGTGTCATTTAGACACAAATCACCATTTAATTGGGATGTGATATTTAGCTGTAGGTTGGCGCATGTGATGAAATGTCGTACCGAAATTACATGTGACATAGGTACTGTATGTATTTTGAACTTCTTTCGCACCGTACGTGGCCAATCATGCTAATCGGAGGTGCGGGGGAAGAACAACAAACGAAACACAACAAACAGTTCTAGAGAAGTTAGCTGCATATGTTGTCACGGTTGTACTGTGTAACTTTCGGATTGTACCGCTTGTTGTTCGGCCCGACGTTCGACGTTTCGCTTCCCGTGCTTGAAACGTCTTCAGTAACTGGATTCAGTTTAAATAATTTAATTAAGGTTTTTGGGTTTTTTGCAGAAGCTCCCATTACGTATCGCGAAACGTCGAACATCATCCCAAACAACGCGCAGATTCAACCGGAAAACGCACGGGGGCGAGAGCTGCACAGATCACAAATTGGGACAGCCTCGACGCCGTCACAATCCTAAATCCGCTGCGCAACGAGATGAAGGGGGCATGCGCCGAAGGGTTTAAGGCCGCACCTCACGCGGAGCACGAGGGCTCCTCTGTTACGACTCTTACTCTGCATGGTCACCGGTACAGCGCATCGTGTCCGGCATGTACCCTCGAGCAATTCATGAAAACCTAAGAACTGTGCTCGCCTAATGTCCTATCCCCCTGAAAGAAAATGCCCTCCTATTAGGCAATGCCCTCCTACTAGGCAATGCCCTCCTGCTAGGCAATGCCCTCCTACGAGACAATGCCCTCCTACGAGACAATGCCCTCCTACTAGGCAATGCCCTCCTGCTAGGCAATGCCCTCCTACTAGGCAACGCCCTCCTACTAGGCAACGCCCTCCTACTGGCAATGCCCTCCTACTATGCAATGCCCTCCTGCAATGCCCTCCTACTATGCAATGCCCTCCTGCAATGCCCTCCTACGAGGCAATGCCCTCCTGTTAGGCAATGCTCTCCTACAAGACAATGCCCTCCTACTAGGCAATGCCCTTCTGCTAGGCAATGTCCTCCTACTAGACAACGCCCTCCTGCTAGGCAATGCCCTCCTGCTAGGCAATGCCCTCCTACTAGACAACGCCCTCCTGCTAGGCAATGCCCTCCTACTAGACAACGCCCTCCTGCTAGGCAATGCCCTCCTGCTAGGCAATGCCCTCCTACTAGACAACGCCCTCATACTAGACAACGCCCTCCTACTAGACAACGCCCTCCTGCTAGGCAATGCCCTCCTACTAGGCGATGTCCTGCTGCTAGGCAATGCCCTCCTAATAGGCACCGTGAAGAAGAGGAATCCCATGTTCTGCAACTCGAAGCGTACAACGCAGGGAGCGCGTTTTACGAGTTGCTGGAGCTGTTAAAGCCGTGCAGGCGGAAAGTTCATGTTGTTAAACCGGAGCGACTGTACCCGCAGTCGGCTCCGCCTTTCAAGCGCCCATGCAACGCCAAGGCACATTTACAGGCGACGCACTCAATCCTCAACTCCCGTTAAATCGCGACCGCTCGTCTGCGTCTCACAAAGATAAATAACGTCCGCGCCGTCTCGTGAGTTGTTTAAGTGGCCTTTGCGCGCCCTGCAGAGAGACGGCTGATTGGCCGCATTTTAAATGCCTCGCGGGATGGAGGCTGGCGCGCACCGGTTAGCGAATTTGCGCTTTGATGCCCGGTGAAAAAATCACTCGCTGTTGATGGTAGCCGTGGCCCGGCATCGAACTCAGGTTACCAAGTTCTTAGTTCAGTACGTTAAACATTCTGCAACCGCTAGTTCTTAATACTGTAGTATCATGCCTTTGTGTCACCAATCTTTTATACCGGATTAGAGGCTATTGCAGTTATGCACAAAACTAACCCCACCCCCCCCCCCCCCCCCCCTAGTATTCTGGGCTATTGGAGCAAGCCCTGTTTGTTAGCGAGCACCTATTCACTATTCATGCCGGTACTGCCCGCACGTGGGTTAGCCAAGAACATCCACGTGGCCTCTCTAACACATCCCGTCGCGCGCACGCGCGCGCTGATCATTGCGCCACCGCGCCCACGTCTTAGCATCGCTTTGTAGAACGACGTGGATATTGAAGTGAACCGCACAAAGGGAATGCCGCACTGACAACAATGGCTTATTACTTTAAATTTTAATTCACTGCCACACACACACTCACTCCGGCCCGTGCGCATCGCCGAGTCGTGGTCAAGGCGGCTACTTATGCTCAACTTGCATTGTCAGACCACGTGAATTCGCGATTAGTGAAAAGGATAAGTGTTTTTAGATGAAAGCAAACAAAAGCAGAACTTTTCGATTTAAAGCTTTCGTGACTGCAATGATTCATCTTCTTTGTTTCTTTCGGTAAAGTCATGTAGAATGAGAATAAAATAATAAATTGATAAAATAAAATAACACAATAATATTCTCACGACGTTTCGGCCACAACACAAGCGGCCCTCGTCCCTTCACCTGATGAAGGGCGCTTGTGTTGTGGCCGAAACGTCGTGAGAATATTATTGTGTTATTTTATTTTATCAATTTATTATTTTATTCTCATTCTACGTGACTTTACCGAAAGAACCAAAGAAGAAAAAAGCAGAACTTGATTCCGTCTCTCCACGTTATAGACAACAATCATTTTAGCCCATCAGCCGATTGGAATTCCAAGCCAATATCGCCGAGTATTCAAGCGCACAACCTCTCGACCGGCTTTGACAATCTGGGTCTCATCAGCAGTCATGGTTGTTAAACGAATGCTGTTGGATTACCAGATGGTATTGTGGTGGTTTAGAGCAGAAGCGTTGGGTTTTTAACGGCAATCAACCGTGGCCAATCCACTGCTGGATAAAGGTCTCGCCAAAGCTGACGCCACCTCTCACGATCATGCGACGCGGTAACAATCTACCAAGCAGCTGCACGACACGAGCTGATTTCACCGCCCGATCCCCTCGGTGGGCTTGCTTCGCGGAGCACGAGTGCTTCATTATATTATTAAACTTAAAATTTGGATCCCGTTTTTAATTATGATAATTGCAAACGCCGTCTGGCACGCACGCACGATGCTCCACGGCGTGGCAGCGGACGAACAATCATGAGCTCTTCTTGTGTGCGGTGATTTGCGATGACGCGGGCAGCCGACGGTGACCAATGGAGTGGGGAGAGTGGGTGTGCGATTTCACTTTGAGCGCTTACGCAGCCCCGGAGCGCTCACACCGAGCGCGGAGTTGCAGCTCGTGAGCAGGCGTCCGTAGCCGAGTTTCACCGAGCCCAGCGCGCAAATCCAAAGGGACACTCGCTCAGCCAGCCTGCTCCAATTCTTAATGAACCCATAACATTTTTTTGTTTTATTATTGTTAACGTTTACATCGGTAAAGCTGTCATACAATTTGATCAGACCGTTGATTTTAGTCATCGCTTTTATTACGAATTCATCTGAACTCGTCACTTATTTTCATCTCTCTCTCTCTCACTCTCTATAGAGTCGCATTGCTAAACTCTAACATTCCAGCATTTACGCGCGGCTTCGATTTTAGCAGTTCCTCTCTCCGTCGAGTTTACATCGATAAGGGTTAATCTCTCGCACCCGAAACGCGCAACACAGCACAGACATGCTGCGCTACGTGGAGCTCGCCTTTGTGGCGCTGGCCGCGGGCATGCTGAGCGCCGCCGGTGCCATGTACCCCTACGCGCAGCACATGTCCTACCAGTCCGACCTCAGCTACCGTCGCCCCAACTGCAAGGCCATCCCGCCGGCGATGGCTCTCTGCCACGATGTGGGCTACCCGGAGATGAGGCTGCCCAACCTTCTCGGCCACGAGTCCATGCGCGAGGCCCTCCAGCAGGCGAGCTCCTGGGTTCCGCTCCTGGCCAAGCGCTGCCACCCGGACACCAAGAAGTTCCTGTGCTCCGTGTTCGCGCCCGTGTGCATCGACGAGCTCGAAGATCCCATCTGGCCGTGCCGCTCGCTCTGCGAGGCCGTCCGCGACTCGTGCGCGCCCGTCATGGCTGCGTTCGGCTTCCCGTGGCCAGACATGCTGGACTGCGAGAGATTCCCCGTGGACAATGACCTCTGCATCCCCGCGGCCACTGGCGACGAGATGGTGCAGGTGATCAAGGAAGGTGAGGGTCTCCACAAGCTTCCACAGCCATCGTCGTCGTCACCGTTCTCGAGTGATTGACTGCCAGACATCAATGTCAGCTGTCGATGCGATTTGTCTTTATATCCGTAAGCTCGCTGCATCTATTGCTGTATAAGATTTTTTTTGTTTTAATTATTAGGAAATGTGAGTGTCCGGGAAAGGATCATGGAGTCTCGAGACTTTTCGAGGAGAGTCTTGCAAAATAATGTTTAGCAAATTCCATTAGTAATAACATTATTAATGGTATTCATAATAATGACTTTATTCATAATAATATTTATCTAGAGGGGCCTCACTGATTCTCAAGACTTCTGTTCAGGTCCTGCCACATCACATTGATGAATGTATGTATGTACGTTGAACTTACTTCGCACCGTACGTAGCCAACCGTGATGTTCGAAGGTGCGGCGGCGGGGGGGGGGGGGGGGAAACGGCGCACCCGGAAAAAAACACACGTACCGATGGGATGACATGCAACGTTCCGCACAGATAGATCCAAGAATCCATGCCCGTTCTGCCATCTCGTGGCCATGAGACGTCACGGTGAACAGATTTAATTCCGAGATTTTTCTAAAACCACGTCTCAACTGATGACTGGATTGCTCAATTTGTTCAGCGCAATTACTGATTATGGGAGGGGGGAGGGGGAGGAGGCGGTGGCGTAGTGGTTAGCGCATTGCGCTACAAAGTATGCACCCAGCGACCTGAGTTCGACTCCCGACCACGGCTAAGATTAGTTGCGAGTGCTGTCTGAAGTGGTCCTGGAACCCCCTCCCCTCTTCGCATTAAGCAGCAGTGGTGAAGTATGGTTAAAACAATCCCTATGGGCAATACAGCGTGGTGAAGTATGGTTAAAACAATCCCTATGGGCAATACAGCGTGGTGAAGTATGGTTAAAACAATCCCTATGGGCAATACAGCGTGGTGAAGTATGGTTAAAACAATCCCTATGGGCAATACAGCGTGGTGAAGTATGGTTAAAACAATCCCTATGGGCAATACAGCGTGGTGAAGTGGACTGACAAAGGGCTATACTTAATCATCATTATTATTATTGTTGCAAATTAAGTAAAGTCTGACTCGCGCACTGATGCAATGGGCTCTGGCTGCTTTCGCGAGTGACCGGGAGGGTTCCGAATGTCGATCAGCTTCAACTTTGTTCTGTTCTATTTTCAGAACCCAAAGTGTGCGAACCCTGTCTGTTCAAGGACGAAGACGACAACGAAATCGTGGAGAATTTCTGCAAAAACGACTTTGGTATTGTATCGTGTTCTTTTTCCGTGCGTGATTGCGTGTGTCGCGGTTAGCGCTACGAACCTGGCGACCCGGGTTCGATTCCCGCTCACGACCAACACCGGTGACGATTCTCTGAACCGGTGCTGGGTTTCCCCTAGGTCGACTCGTCCTCAAATGAGTACCTGGTCCCGTGTGTGAACATCACCACTGGAGAAACAAAGGCGGTCGGGCGTGGTGCTGTCCTCGTGTACCGTGCCGGCCGTAACGAGCACTTGCCCCAAAAATCGGTGAACGCTATAAGGGGGACCTTTGGCTTTGTGTTTTTAAAGCTCAGCAGTGGATGCTGACGCCGCAGATGTCACCGTTCGCTTTGCTGTGCTTGGTACGGTGTGGTTTACCTGTGCCTGCCACATACAATCTTTTTAAACTTCCGTTATCATGGCTTTAACACAGTGAATGAACACACACATACACTGTTGCCGATAACAAAAGCAGGCGGATTTCGTCCGATCCCGGGAGCGAAGCAGGGTTGAGTCTGGATATTACTTGAACGGGAGAGCATGGTGTATGAGCAGGCTATTGCAGAGCTGCGCTGTGGCCAGTAGAAAGCAGTGTGTAGCAAAATCAATCTTTGTACGGGGTTTTTCGCTTTATGCGGGTTTGGTTTGTGCGATTTCGCGTATCTGCCGCCAACCTATTTCGACCCAAAATTCGCTCTGTGCGGTTTGAATTCACTCTACATGCGGCTATACGGTGCGGACGTGGGACACCATTGTGTGTGTACTGTGTTTACTATATGTACTATGTGTGTACTGTGTGTGTACCATGTGTACTGTGTGTGTACTGTGTGTACTATGTGTACTATGTGTGTGCACTGTGTACTCTGTGTGTGTACTATGTGTACTCTGTGTGTGTACTGTGTGTGTACTATGTGTAATCTGTGTGTGTATTGTGTGTACTCTTTGTGTGTACTGTGTGTACTGTGTGTGTGTACTGTGCGTATACTGTGTGTACTGTGTGTGTACTGTGTGTGTACTATGTGTTCTGTGTGTGTACTGTGTACTTTGTGTGTGTACTATGTGTGTGCACTATGTGTGTGTAATGTGCGTATACTGTGTGCACCGTGTGTGTACTGTGTGTGTACTATGTGTGTACTATGTGTGTGTACTATGTGTACTATGTGTGTGTACTGTGTGTGTACTATGTGTGTACTGTGTGTACTGTGTGTGTACTGTGTGTGTACTATGTGTGTACTGTGTGCACTGTGTGTGTACTATGTGTGTACTATGTGTGTGTACTATGTGTACTATGTGTACTATGTGTGTAGTGTGTGTACTATGTGTGTACTGTGTGTGTACTATGTGTGTGTACTATGTGTACTATGTGTGTACTGTGTGTGTACTATGTGTGTACTGTGTGTACTATGTGTGTACTGTGTGTGTACTATGTGTGTACTGTGTGCACTGTGTGTGTACTGTGTGTGTACTATGTGTGTGTACTATGTGTACTATGTGTGTGTACTATGTGTGTGTACTGTGTGTGTACTGTGTGCACTATGTGTGTGTACTGTGTGTGCACTGGGTGTGTACTATGTGTACTATGTGTGTACTGTGTGTGTACTGTGTGTGTACTATGTGTGTACTGTGTGCACTGTGTGTGTAATGTGTGTGTACTATGTGTGTGTACTATGTGTGTACTGTGTGGGTACTATGTGTGTGTACTGTGTGTGTACTGTGTGTACTATGTGTGTGTACTGTGTGTGTACTGTGTGCGCTGTGTGTGTACTGTGTGTACTGTGTGCGTACTGTGTGTACTGTGTGTACTGTGTGTACTATGTGTGTACTGTGTGCACTGTGTGTGTACTGTGTGTACTGTGTGTACTATGTGTACTATGTGTGTGTACTGTGTGCGCTACTCAGGAGGCAGCTGTCTCCTCGTGCAGTTTCCCTTTGTGCGCCCGTTGTTTGGAACGCATCCACCACTACCGCATAAAGCGAGGGGCATCTGCACTCTACCGTGTTACTCATTTCTTGAGAACTGATTTTTGTGTTTAGTTTGTTGTCCTTATCCCCCCCCCACGTACATCCGATCGGCGCGGTTGGCTACGTACGGTGCGAAAGAAGTTCAACATACGTACAGTGTGGGGTTTGGGGGACGGGGAGGGAGAGTGACCCTCCTCATCCAGCAATGGATTGACAATAAAAGGGGATTTGCATATTCATACAAATTATAATTGGCTTGCTCCATATGTGCGTATCGGTACGTGTGAGCACGAGGTTCATTAAACACAGCAGGGTGGCTTTAATTGAGTAAGTCAACGCTGCTGCTGCTGTTGTTGTTTTTGTATTTAACTCAATTGGATTGGTTAATTGAAGGCGGCACGTTTATACCCTCCGTTAGTTTAGACACACACAAAAAACACACACAAAAGGCGAACTTCACTCGCAATCTATCGAATTCTGCGTCACGCCTGGCGAATTACTCGCTTCGATGATGAATGACGGTGGATTGTACATTTGGTATAAAACATAACAAGCGTTTAACGCGATACTCTTATAGGCAACGGTGACCTTTGGGCTGACCTTAACCCCACGAGTGAAAGGAATCGACCCCGGGGCCGTAATTCTCTGGGAAGAGTGAACTCGGAACGGTGTGATATTTCCGTCAAATGTACGTTCGTTCATCTGTCTGGCCACCCTTTCGCAGAACGCCGTTTTAATGTTACGCCAAAAACCTGCGCGATCGTCTGCATCGCCGTAACGCTTCGACGACATTCACCGACCGAGTCGTACGAGACCACACTTCGGTGATGGAATTCCACGTGATATTCTGGCCGGGCGCCAGCCACGTGCACGAACGAAGGCGCGCAGGTTGTTGTAGGCAGTACAGCTACGTCGTCCGCTGTTATGCTGTACAGTACTCTACTTCTATGCTACCGCGTAAATGCTCTCCAGCCTTTAACGATTCCCGCATTGACCAGCGGTGTGATGTATGGTCAACACCCCCACCACCACCAACCCACCGCCCCCCAACACGGGAGTCGAGAGATTATCACCCAGCAGAGTTTCGACATCAGGGCTGCTGTGTGTTCCACACCGTCCACGTGGGGTGGTGCATCGATGGTACATGGCCACGTGCTTATTCAAAGTGATATCCTGCTCAAATTGGCGTGGGTGCGGTGTTAATCTACATACAACTCCGAGCCAGTGGTAGAAATTCCACATTACTACGAGGGTGGGTGACCACTGCTGATGTCCCTGCAAAGTTGTAATAGCTTTACCTACCCCGGAGGGATGATTGGCTGAGTCAACCCACCCCTCCCAAACAGGATTAGCCCTCGCAAACTTCCGACTGCTGGACCATCTGACGCGTGCATTGAATCAAATAATCTCTGGTGATGCTGCTGCTACATGCGCAGTGGTCCCCAAGCACAACATAACCTCACACATTCGGGGGGGGGGGGGTGGGGGTCTTTGCAGTAGCGTAACTATCGTGGGGGCAAGGAGGTGCCTTGAGCCCCCCCCCCCCCCCATTAACCATCATGACATTTGTTTTCAACTTCTGCGTGAAAGAACAAAACCTCGTGTTATTATGTATGACCTAGGTGCGATCGTGCGAGACTAATCACATATTGGGGCCCCGCCTGAACGATTGCCCCCCCCACCGCCCGCCCCCTGAGCTGATAATGTCGTAACGCCACTAAGGTCTCTCTGTATTTGTGGTGTGTGGTGGTGTGTGTTGTGTGTGCGGGACAAAACCACCCCCCTTCCCACCCCACCCCCCCCCCCCCTGCAACAGCGCTGAAGATGAAGGTGAAAGAGATCTCCTACATGAACGGCGACACCAAGATCGTGCCCGAGGTGAAGAGCAAGACCGTGTACAAGTTCAACGGCATCTCGGACCGCGAGCTCAAGAGGACTGTGTTGTGGCTCAAGGACGGCCTGCAGTGCACCTGCGACGAGATGAACGACATCAACGCCCCCTACCTGGTGATGGGGCGCCGCCAGGCGGGCAAACTGGTCATCACCTCGGTGAAGCGCTGGCAGAAGGGAGAGCGGGAGTTCCGACGAATCGCGCGCAGCATCCGCAAACTGCAGTGCTGAGCGCGCTCCACGCGTTTTTGATCGGCCGTGGTGGTTCGGGTGGTGGGTGGGTGGTTGCAGAGCCGGATTAAGATTTTGTAGGCACCCTGGGCTACAGGTACTGTAAGCCCCCCCCCCCCCCTCTCTCCCCCAGTAATATTTTCAAAAGGAAAACAAAGTTAAAGAAAAAATATAACGTATTTTTTTTTTTACAATGCTAACAACAAATTAAATTCAGCATTGACAACTGAAATAACTTTGGTTCTTTCGGCAACGTCACGGAAAAATAAGTAGTAATTAGTCATTGCTGCAGTCACGAAAGCTTCAAATCAAGTTTGAACTGAAATAACTTTTAATTTAACCCGAAAATCGAAAGGGCAGGGAGAGTGACTGGCCTTACACATGGAGGTCGCGATTTGGCAGAGGCCGCTGGGCTGCAGTCCCTAAAGCCCCCACGCCTTAATCCGGCCCTGTGTGGGGTGGGTGATGCCTTCGTAGTGATTCTGCTTTTAATAGTCGGCAAGCATGGGGCGTCCCCCCCTCCACACCCCACACACTTTCGCCACGAGAGTGACGCGTTTGGTTACGGGGTGCACGTGCGCCAACCCTAAACCTAACGCACCCCCCCCCACCCACCCATCCACCTCTGTTTCCTACATCATCCTCATTACACTTCCTATCACCAACCAAAATATCTCCCGCATCCATCATTAGCACTGCCCTGTAATGGAACAGTAAAGTAGGTTGACGTTTCGGGTAATGACCCTTCTTCAGAATTGAAAATAGAAAGGGCAGGGAGAGTGGCTGGCCTTACACTTCTGTGGGACCATGAGAATACCGTTCGCAAGGGCTATCACCCGAAACGTCGAGTTACGATTGCTCTTTCTGTTGTACGGCAGTGTAAACGATGAATGTGATGAGTTTGTTGTTGTCATTGTTTGTGCATCACTGCCAACGCAGTACCTTAATATTTGTTATTGTTGTTTCACATTGGCTCGAGCATTGAGAGAGACCAGGCAGTTACACAATTGGCTCCAAGTGTCTCCTTGGTCTCATGTTTAACCCTGTACATACATTAAACCTATACTGGCCTGTGGCATGCAGCGCGATCCATTCGTAGATACCCCACTAAAAAAAAAACCCAACATCGAAATTCAAAGCCACTGCTTTCACAATATTCACACGCCTATTGAGAATGTGTCCATTAGTAACAAGTTGGGTATATGTAAATGGATCGCCCGGCATACTTTGTATCTATCATTTATATAATTGATCCCCTCCCCCATTCCTCCTGTAAATCCTGGCTAGGTCTGTGACTTCTTATAACCATTTCCTGTAGACGGCTCGCTATAGTCTATACTCATGAGCACTCTCGTCTAAATGAAGCGAACGGAATGCTGATCACGAATTCGTGAAGGCCCTTCAACTGGCACTGCAAACTCTACACATTCATTGGACACGTGTTACTCTCTACCACAGCGTGGTGTTGGGATAGTTCACGTACACTATACATACGATGGGTGAACACACAGACAAAGATCCCCCATATAGCATTAACATACTGTTGGGGCAAGTGCTGTTAGAGAGCACCCATGAAGGCCGGCACGGCACACGATGGGGTGGGTGGCCAACACCACGCCCGGCCGCCTTTGTCTCCCCCGTGGCGATGTTTATACACCGCACCAGGTACTGGAGGCCCAGGACCGACCGGTTCAGATAATCGTCGCCGGTGTTGGCCGTGAGCGAGAATCGAACCCGGATCTACGGGGTTCGTAGCGCAGCGCGCTAACCGCCACACCACCGCACACACGGCGTGGTGTGTGGTGTGGGGATGTGTTCACATATACAATACATACTACTAGACGATACAAGCTATGGGTGAATACACACACGTACGCCCTGCCTCCACGTAATTGCTCCCACGCTGTCGTTCTCCGCCCACTGCTGCACCTGGTTCTCAGCAGGCTTAATATCATAATCTTTGGGTCTTTCGGTAAAGTCACGTAGATAGGTTCCAAAATAATAATAAAATAAACCCATCGACGTGACTTTACCGAAAGACCCAAAGAATATGAATTCCTGCAGTCACGAAAGCTTCAAGTCAAGAGTCTTAATATCACTATTGTAATAAATAAATATCTAATTTACACGCCCGTTGTCAATCCACTGCTGGATGAAGGACTCCAAACGCCGTGTCGGTCATGGGGGGGGAGGGGGGGGTTGTTTGACCGTGCTTCACCGCACTGGTCATTGTGGGTTTGTCGATGTCGATGTGGCGGGTGGAGGGGATGGGACGAGCGGCGATAGTTCCGAAAGCACTCGCCACTGACATTAGCCGCGGCCGGGAAAAATCGAACTCAGATGGCTGGGCTCGTAGACTTAACACACATTGCCTATATGATTGGCGTCTGCGCTTTCTCCTTGTTATGCAACCCCAAGACACCATGCCCCACATGTCATGTGTTCATAAGTCGACACAGCAATACTGGGTTTCCACAATTAGTACGTAGACTGTCGCCTAATGGAGCAAGTGCTGCTAGCGAGCACATTAATGTAGTTTGCGGGGTAGCAACAGCATTGCTAAGTAAATGACCCAGTTAAATACATGTCACAACCCCCAACCATGTGTGACTAGGGGTGAAACGGTGCATCTATTATTATGGGTTAATATTAAATATCACGATATACACGCGATGTCGCAAGTGCACGAATCTTCGGTGTGTGTAAAATTAAGTTTTCTCATGGGTTTGACCACGAGAGGCCGTTACATTCACCAAAAATGCTAAAAAGAAGACGAAAAGGTAATTCTCTGCAGCCGATATGCCCCACACGACGCTGCTTCTGCTTTGTAATAACGATGCCACGTTGCGTATCATTTTCTCTAAATGGCCTTAAATTGTGATCTATGTGGCCTCAAACTGGCCCTACGACTTGTTTTTTTGTCGCATCCAAGAGCCCCCCCCCCCCCCCACCGAGGAGATGGAGCAGCCGATTCGCGTGCAGGTGCTAGGCAGAATATCGCATCACAGGATCGTGAGAGATGGCGACGGCTTGAGGTCTTCATCCAGCAGTGGGTTGATCAAGGCTGTTCATGATTAAACCTAACACTTCTGCTATAAAACACACGACTGCGCGTGGAACTTTGTATGCTGTGCGTTATGAATAACTGGATTCCGTTGACACTGCTGCACGTGTGACTAAGCTTCTCATCCGTTTCACATTTCGTACATTTGTCAGTACACTTCTGGATGAACACCTCCACGCGCCGTAGTTGTTCATGGAGGGTTTTTTTACCATAATTCACCACGCCGGACAGAGCATTGCGATGAAGTTGTTGGTGATGTCACTCGCCAATCCTGATGATAGACGTGGCCGAGGATCGAACTGAGGTTGGCGGGTTGGCGGCGCGTTCAGCTAACAACCACTGCGACACCGCACCCACGCACTTTCGTTTTCATCCGCGGCCTTAATCTCATCTGATCGAGCGTCTGTTTGTCATCACAGGCAGCGCCACAGAGGTGGGGGCCCTTTGATGGCTCAATCACAGCGGGTGGCTGAGCCTCTTTAATTAGTCCAAAGATTGTTTCATATGAATGAAGGTCTCCACCCCCCCCCCCCCGCGCCCCACCACCCACTCCAGTGGGTTGACAAAGAGCTTATGCATCTTAGTATAAGGAATGTGCATATCAGGGCTTCATTTCAGTGGGAATTACCCGAGGCTGTTCTGGAAGAAAAAAATATTCCGTGATCATTTAAGCCATGGGGCACATCAATGCCGTGCTTTGGTCATCGGGCGCCTATCCAGCAGTGGATTGATAAAGGACTGGATGCATAATGTATTGTGTGCTCATCAACAGGAACTCGTCAAACTCTCTATTCAAAGTCCCAGGCTGACAACACGTGGCCTTTCCATGGAATGACACCTTATTGTGTGGCATTGTTAAATTATTTGAATCAACTTCTGATACGTTCGTCACACCACAGGCAGTTGTAGCAACTCTGTAAAATTGTTTGGCAACAGTTACTTGTAAATATGTTTTAGTCTTTGAATTTGTATCCCTGTAAATGATTGTTTGTTCAATGAAACGAATGTGATAACGAGTGTATCGATGACATCCAATAATAGACTCTATATGCGAAAAGTAATCATCAGTTCCACTTATATATGAAGTTATGATGAAAATAAAATGTTTTTAAAATCTTCACTTGCACCCTGTAAAGTTTCTTAAACCCTACGTATGTCACCCCAGCTGTATAAAGTAGTGCAACCAGTCTAGTCGACCGAGCAGATCGCGTAAGATGGCGTAAAGTGTGAGTAGTACTCTACACGTCTCACAAAACGTCTGCCCAGCGTGGTAGAGTAGGCCAAAGCACCACCTAAAACGGGTCTCGAGAGCTCCCTTTGATGTACGTATGAATGTTGAACTTCTTTCGCACCGTACGTAGCCCCACCGTGCGAATCGGAGGTGCGGGGGAAGTACAACAAACTAAACGCAAAAAGCAGTTCTAAATAAATGAGTTTCCAATCTAGATTTAGTTGTCAACAGTGGAAGCCCTTTCCGCCAGGCAATGGCATGAACTAGCCATTACAGGGCTGCACTTTTCCATCTATCCCGCACCCTATCCGTCAGTGTGCCCTCACTGCAAGACCCGCGAGCCACTGGCATCTTCCAGTGGCATTTTGTGCGGTCCTCGACAATACAGAAATGTGAAAAACCCCCCCCCCCCCCAATCATCATCGCGCTGTCAACCCCCAATGGTTTGAAAGTGAAATTGGCCCCCCCCCCCCCCCCCCGAAAATATGTGAAGAACACTGCTGTATATCTTCATTGTCTGTCCATTGTTCGTAAAGAAACTCGTGCACGTGTCACCGTACGTGTATTCACACGTTGGTACGTTACTATTACGGTGTACTGAAATTATAATTATTCAGCTCAGTTTCCCAAGAAAATTCTTTATTTACGTAACTTTGATCCCGGTCCGCTTTCAATACGAGCGTTTTAATCAGGAGCGTGTCACCTGCTTTAACACATGGATTATACATTTTTACTTTGACGATGTGAAATGCATCAAAAAGCCGAAAAGTGCGCAAATACGCATGGATGAGTAGGCAAAGTTCCGCACTTGGAATCACACTGAGAGACAGAAAGAAAAACACACGGAGCAGAGAACAAACTAACCGTACAGACATCATCATCATCACCACATTTGTAAGGACAGTAACGCCTCCTCGTGGCCGTGATTACTCAATGACGTGTAGTAATCGAGACAGGGACAGACAGGGCCAGATGAGGTGAGAGAGTGTTCGTGGGAAAGGTTCGTGGCCGGGTCGATGTGTGGATAAAAGCCGGCGTGGAACAGGGCTCTGGGCTGCTGTTGTCGTCTTGCAGCGGGTCGTCTTCATCATCCTGGATCGGGCACCTTGTCGTCTTGGAAGGCTGGAGTTAATATTGTCTCCGTGACTACTTACGCGTCCGCTCCTGCGTAGCCAGCCAGCTACACAGGGAGTGTCGCGTAGAGTCACAGAAGTTACCCAGCTGTGTTTACAGTCACTCGCGGTTACACGTTAAGTTATCAGTGAGTCCGTGGACCTTATTCACAATAAATATGCATATAACTGAACAAGACGGTGTCTCTGAGAGCTACATTACACATTCGCCGTTGAGGGAAAGTAAGTTGGCCTTGGGCAAGACACGTCTCGAGAAGAGATGATGATGATGATGGCCAGTGGTCGAGATGAAGGACGGAGTGGCAGCTAACAAACAGAAAACACGACGGAACGCGCTCGAGATCGTCTTGGTCGCAGAGGGAACGTCAACTCGCGTGCAGGTGATAAAGTTTGTAACAGTTGCATCCCAAGACGGGCATATGGCGACGGCACCAGCGAATGTTTAATCCAGCAGTGGATTGATTTATGGCTGATGATGAGTATACCCATACAAATCAATATATATGGGCTTCGTGATATGGACGGTAGGGTTGCCCTCGTAACGGCAGGGTTGCCCTCGTAACCCCCCACACCTCCAACTATTTGTCCCCTTAATAGAAGCTTATGAGGTCCCAAGTAGGGTCCATGAGCAGCCCTTTTGTCAACGTCACTGTTGGACGAGCCTCTCCCCACAATTATTCGAAAGGGAGATAGTACCTACACACCGATCACCATGT